TCCAGGGAACCAGCAGTTAGTGTAATGGCTATGTCGCTGGACTCCCACGTAGTCGACCACGGGCGTCCGGGACCTGGTGACTTAAAACTCACGCCGGGCGCGTGTGCGTGCGTGCCCAAGATCCCGAGAGGAGAATAGAGGAGAAGGGATTGCAGTGTGACCATCCCCCCTGGGGGGTGATTTCTCGCTTTCTCTGTCTCTATGCCTCTCTGTCTTTCTGGCGAGCGCATGCACCCTATAGCGAAAACCTCTCCAAAAAAAAAAAAAAAGTGAAGCTTCCGTTTTCTAAAGGTAATTCATCTACAGTACTTTCGTGAATGTGGAGTACCTTGTGCTGGGCATAAATGTTCTTCCTGTTTGTCTATATTAACTATATTATTTCATATATAAAATGGCTATAAACATTTTAAACCTACATTATATTTAATTTTAATTACTTTGACACAAATATCATGAATATCGTGAAATGTTGTTTGAAATAAAAAACGATAAGATGGGCAGTCACTGCCCTAGGTAAGGATTTAAGAAAATATAGATATCAGCTCTAAGCCAGGGATGAGACATTGTGAATGAATAAGTCTTTTAGATTTAAGTCTTCACTTGCATGATGAGGTAAGAGCAGAGCATATAGTAAATTCACATACTTTTTTAAAGAGGTTTTTGCCTTAGGGTGCATGCACTCACCGAAGAGAGAAAGGCAGACAGTGAGAGGGAAAGTGAGAAATCACCCCTCGATAGGATGGCCACTCCGCAGTCCCTTCTCCTCCATTCTCCTCTGGGATCTTGGGCACGCACGCACACGCATCTAGCGTGAATGAGTTTCAAGCCACAGGTCTGGGACCTGAACCATAGTCAGCCATGGTGGAAATCCAGTGACATAACCACTACACCATCTGCTGGTTCCAATAAACTGACATAATTAATCTGAGGAAATTGCATAATATCCTAGCTCATATAGAGCTGGGAGATTGGTAAGTAAGGTTAGATTACATTATTTTTCTAAAAAAGAATTAGTTATTTAATTTTATTTATTCATTAATTTATTTTATTTTGACCAGAGAGACAAGAGAGAGAGAGGGAAAGTGAGAAGGTAAGCCACCAGGTCGGGGACTTGAACCGTGGCTGGCCATGTGGGATTATCCAGCACCTGAACCACCACGCCACCTGCTGGCCCCTTAGATTACATTCTTGAAGGTGATGAGTTAGTTTACTTTTTTATTTCCTAGACTGATTTTTTTTTTCTCTTAGGCAGTGAGTAAGCTGAAGGGAAGTACTATCTTTGCAGAGAAGCTTCAGAGAAGACTGAACTCACTGCTCTGATCTTCCTAGGTTCATAAGCTCTTGGAAGCACTCGTCTCTGGGGTCTGTTTTCTCCCTCTGTGTATTCTGGGGATTCAGGTCTCCTCTGCTCTTCATTTGAGACAGCCTAGTACAGGAAAGGAGCACTATTCTTGGATTTGGGATAGATAACATGTTGGTGGCATTCTCCTCTTGAATGGTGTAGAAAATGAGTACATCTCAAATTTGAAGCCAACCACTTCATACTAAAGACTAAAAGGAATGAGAGATTTATGTTGAGCTCATTGAGAGTATTCTTTGTGATTGTAGTTCACCACTGTTCTTTAGAAGCATGAACAATAGCCTATAATAGCCTGAAGATTAGCTGGAATTTTTTTTTCATGGTTGGTTATATGTCCATGGTTTCAGGGTTCAGGGGCTAAGTTCCCTATATGTTTATGTCATAGTCAGAACAACAACAACAAAAAGGACAGGGATCCCTTAGTCTACTGGACATTTTTGCGAGCTTCTGGGTATTCTCACTCTGATTTGTAGGAATGGCAGCCAATTATTGAACTGTTGCCACATGTGCATCTCCTTACGC